CACAACAACAACCAGAACCACCGCAACAACAAGAACCACAACCACAACCAGTCACAACCACAACCACAACAACAACAACACAAATCCCTCCTTCCACTTTCTTTGCTCTTCCCCCTTCCCCTGTTTTGGCCGTTGGCCGGCTGTCGGGCGTAAGCCCTCAAATCCGGCAACGCCGTTCCAGTGACCATATCAAGCTAGCTTGCTATACGGAGACGCGCCCCATGCCGCCAACCTCTTTTCGGCTCATGTGGCTTCATCAAAAAACATCAAAAACAGCATAAAATTTTTCAAAAAAGGTATAACTGTAAAGCTTATGGCCTCAAATCCTCTAGAACATAAAGCGAGCATCATTAGCATCAGCAGAGTCTCAGCAGGAAAGATGCAAATCCTTTGGTGTATGACCAGGCGCAAACACAGTAAAATATATTGTTTTTTGCAAAATGTATGTAGTGTATGAACAATGATGCTCGTACCAATGGTGCTCGACACAAATGCTACCTCAAAACTTCCTCTCCCCTTTGCATACTTTCTTCTCTAGAGATAAAGCTTTAGAGTAGCCATTGTTTATCATTGTTCATCTGCTTTTGACATTTTTTGACGAAAATACATATGTCCTGGTGATGTTCAAAATCTCGGTTTGTGGCCGACATTTCTAGCACCAGGACGTATGTATGTTCGTCATCCCCAAAGGCGTCGCCGGTGGGCGAAGCCTGTCAGTGTGTGTGTGTGTAACCCTTGGACTCAAAGGGAACCTTAAGGTTTGGAACAGGGGGACGGGACACCTCTGGCATTTCCCGTCCAACGAAGAGGATGCCAGCAGGTGCTGATGCAGTGGGGGACGCCCCACTGTGTACCTGTTCCACTATTTAGGAAAACAGGAGGAAATGGTACTCGACACACTTGTATGTCGGTGCCTTTCCTTCTGTTTTCCTCTAGGCTACTCTACAGGTTTGCAGGTAGGCCTCCAAACTTTGTAAGGGGTTCTTTAACTTGAACTTTGGCCTCTACCCACTAGATTGACCCCCAACTCGCTGTTTTGCTGTCGACCTCCAACTTTGACTGTCTTGTGGTTTTTCTTGTGCTTTGTAACCTGGTAGCGCTGGCCTCCAACTTGGTACCCTGGCCTCCAACCTACTAGCGATGACCTCCAACTTTGCTTTTGCTGTCACTTTGCGTCTATGGTCCACCGCCTACTAGCGATGGCCTCCAACCTTAGGTCTTGGCCCCAACAGCCTCGCGTTGACCTCCAACCCAAAACCGTTGAGCTTTTGGATCGGGAGCGCTGGATCCCACGCTTGGACAGTCGATGGCATTTTTGTGGTCGGATGTAAAGGTAGCGAGACATCCCCCACCTAAGACCAATGCAAGTGAATCCGAGGCAGAATCGGGCATAACAGGCACACAAGAGCAATCACCGAGATTTGCAGAACCGGTGCCTAATGTAGGTGATGAGGAGCTGAACCAACCAGAGGAACTGCCCTCAGAAGAGGAAGAGCAGGAAACGGAGGCTTGGTAGCTGCTGCTGCTGCTGCTGCTGCTTGGTAGCTGCTGTTGGTGCTGCTGCTGCTGCTGCTGTTGGGTAGCTGCTGCTGCTGCTGCTTGGTAGCTGCTGCTGCTGCTGCTGCTGCTTGGTAGCTGCTGCTGCTTGGTAGCTGCTGCTGCTTGGTAGCTGCTGCTGCTGCTGCTGCTGCTTGGTAGCTGCTGCTGATGCTGCTGCTGCCTGGTGGCTGCTGCTGCTTGGTAGCTGATGCTGCTGTTGCTTGGTAGCTGCTGCTGGCTGCTGCTGTTGCTTGGTAGCTGCTGCTGCTGCTGTTGCTTGGTAGCTGTTGCTGCTGCTGCTGCTGCTGCTTGGTAGCTGCTGCTGCTGCTGCTTGGTAGCAGCTGCTGCTGCTGCTTGGTAGCTGCTCCTGCTGCTGCTGCTGCTGCTGCTTGGTAGCTGGCGCTGCTGCTTGCTAGCTACTCCTGCTGCTGCTTCTGCTGCTGCTTGGTAGCTTCTGCTTGCTGCCGCTGCCGGTTGCAGTTATTGTTGTTGTGGCTGTTGCTGCTGCTGCTGCTGCTGCTGCAGCGGTTGCTGGGGTGGTTGTGTGTTGCCATGTGTTGGCTGTGTTGGGGTCGTATTGGGGGGGCGCTGTTGGCACTCTCCTTTTCCCTTGGCTATGGCATGTTGCGATTCCCGGCCAGGCTTTTGCTGCCTAAAGAGCCCCAGCGTTGTTTATTTGCCTAGCTTTCGCCACCCCCCTCTGGGCCACAAGTGGAAGTACGTGGCATGGAATGGAAGCCCCCGAAAAGACCATGAAATCCGAATACCTGTTTCAGGAGACGGTCCGCTTCCATGTTTGGACGGAGGGAATATCACCCTCCAACTCCACTCCTTCCTGCGTCAGGGTCTCCACTCTTCGCAAACGACTACGACCTGCCCCAACGACACGACACGCCACGCTTCCGGACGCCTTGGGCGTCAAACCACGCGTCCGGCGAAGTGTTTGACGCCGCAGGCGACGGATCGGGTGAAGCCGCGAAGTGAAGGCGGACGGGTTGGCCGGACGGATCGGTCGTGGGGTCGAGCGGTTTGGAAGGTGGAACGGATGCTCTCAGGAAGTGGTCTTGGGTGCGTGTGGTGAGATGTTTGGTTGAATGGATTGCTCTGAAGCTCAGCAAGTCTCAAAGAAGAACCCCTTTTTTGCCAATTTGTTGTACTTCGGATAGGATTTGCACTTTTAGTTAGAATGTCTAATACGCAAACCCATATTTATGGGCTAGAGTCTATAGCGGTGCGTGAGCCAGAAAAATGTTATAGCATTGATATATTATATAGATAAACAACTGCAGAGGTGAATCAGGGACAGGCACAACAATATCACATCATCTCTGTTTTCCCGCACGACGCATCCTGTTTGTTGTAGTGGGGACATAGTCTCTCATCTCAACACCCTCGGGTGACCGCCGACCGCGGTTTCGATCGAAGACCTCGAGCGGAATGGATTTGGATAGCCCAAAGCAACGAGTGCGGAGTTATGTACAGAGACTCCATGTGACTGGCACATGCAATCCGATCGATTTGGGGGGGACGTAGGCGTATCATTCCAGTCCCATTGAATGTTGGGGGATGCTCATCTTGGAGAAGTGGCCTTCCGGAGTGACGCGGACATGTCAGCGGACAAAAAACGGAAGGTTCTTCATACAGACCAATACGCAATGCTCTTGGTGGCTTGTCGCAGCGCTGCGCTGTTTTTTTTCACATCACGGTCTTCATGGCCCTAAAGGGACCAACAAAAAGAACTCGCTGAAGGGCTTGGGATATGATTGACTATATGGAACAGTCAGTAAACATTTTTGGACAAGGCCTTTACTAACCATCATCATCCACTGTTACAGGTAATAGGATAGCTCCAATATATGGTCTATCAGCCACCAAGAAGAGCCTCTCACCGAACAAGACCACCGACCCGGAGCTTTTGCCACCAAACCATATCATATCAACCCCCGAGTGAGTTTAGGCGAACAGCTATAAGTCTTAATTCGTTTTAAGCCATATCTATTCGCATTATACAAACTAAGCTTATAAACCAAGCAGGATTCGTTGTTGTTGCCTTCCTTATCGAACGGAAGGGAACAATTCCCTGGTGCAGGAGTGGTGACCTTTGCCATCTATTCCTCGTTGTGGTCTACTCGATGCAGCCGCCCGGAGCGTTGAATCAAGCGCAGCTCACGCTGGAGCTGCATTGGTTGGATGAGCACTGCTATGGCAAACAAAGAAAGATGAGGGCAATCGCGCACTGAAATCACAGAGAACAAAGGAAAAGCTCAAGGTGAACCATTCACTAGCCCGCCATGTGGTCATGTTGCATGCTCTTGAGAGGGAGCTCACTGGAATTGGTGCATGTCATAGGGGAATGGGACGGGGAGGGAGTCTAATTACACCCTGACTCTGCAACCTTTTGTGATTCACGACCTGAATAGATGATCCATGATGATCCTTCAAATTCTCAGCAGCTGTAGCGAAGCTATTCTCCTTCCATGTCACGTTCATCATCCTAGAAACCAGGAGCTCCTCATGTTCAACCAGCGAGGACGTCGCAGGCCACAGTATGTGCTCAGGACAAGCTGACCGTGGCCTCCATGTTGGCCCTCAAGATCTTGGCCGATCAGGCTAGCCAGCTCTTCCCGGGGCCCGGGCCACGGTCGCTGGTGTGAGATGCCAGTTCTTCCCCCGCAAACAGGGAGCCGGAACTGGGAGCTACAGAGAGCTCTCCAGAATCCCCATTGCATGTGCATGTTCTGGCTCTAGGGTCCCACCACGGGCTGGTAAGTGGAGCAACAGAAAGTCTAGAGATCTGGACGCATTGGGGTGCAGAGAGGTGATGGTGGTGGTGAGTGAGCGAGTGAGTGAGTGAGTGGGTGGGTGAGTGAGTGAGTGTGAGTGTGAGTGTGAGTGTGAGTGTGAGTGTGAGTGTGAGTGAGAGTGAGAGTGAGAGTGAGAGTGAGAGTGAGAGTGAGAGTG